ATAAATTTTTGAATTATAAATCACATTTTTTTAATTTTTATACATTTACCGGGATTTAAAATAAATAAGCAGAATAAATAAATATGTACTTAAATTATTTATTACAAATTCAAAAATAATAATTTTATTGCCAAAATAAATTTTATATTTATCAAAATTTTAGAAAAATACAAAAATATAAAAATTGAATAAAAGAAATAAATACAAATCATATATATAGCGAATACACCATATTTTATTTACAAATTACTACTTAAATAATATATTCTATATAGAGTGTCATTTTATTTTATTATAAATAAATTAATTTAATTCAGTTTAATTTTATTTATATATATTATATTTACTTCAATTCATAAAAACTTATATTTAGTTTTTATATGAAAATTTAATTTGTATTTATAAATTTAATTTGTTTAAATGAAATTATCATTTTATTTTTGTATTAAATAATAATATATTTATTTATTATTTTTGAATTTCACACTTGATTTTATTTAAATTAATTTTTATTTTATTTTATTTTATTATACTTTTTATAATTACTTTATTTTTTGATTATATTATTTTTATTTTTGTTTGATTAAGTTTTCCTCTAGTCGTATTGTATAGGCGCCTAGGTCGTCCAGACGGGTTACAAAGTTAGTCATACATAAGTTGTTTAGGCGCTCGTATGTTTTTTTATATTTTTTAAATTTATTTATAAATTAATAAAAATAATAAAATATGTTAATAAAATAAGAAAAACAAAAATCATATAAAATTAATATAATAATTATTAATACATAATATTTTTGAAAATCTTTGTGTTTAGCCGTATACTTATAAAATATATTGTGCAAGTTCTGCATGATGATACATATTAAATATAAATAAATTTATTAATATTTTCCGACCTCTAGGATCCGTCAAGATGCTTTAGGCGCTAGGTCGAGCTCTCCTGGTAGCCAGCGCCTAAAAACTTTATTATTATAAACATGGAGTATAAAGGGAAAACAAACAAATCCAAGAATCACGCAACATCGTGAAATAACAAGAAACTCTAGTTTTAATGTATCTACTTGTGTGAGGCTTGATACTTTTTTTTTCAAAAATGATAGGAATCTCAATATAATCGAAAAAAGATGTTCGATTACAAGGGCAACACCCTAATGTCGAAGGCTAAACCAGAGAGCACTACTAAACCTAGAAGGCTAAATACAACAGATAACTAACCAAAAACAACCAAAACAAACCACCAAAGGCAGTTAAATAAACTGAGCCCTCCAGTGATTGAGAATAAAGCTAAACACAGTAAAACATAGAAATAGAGAAAAGCAAACCTGCCACTGAACTAATTCTACTCAGACCTAGCTAAGTTCTTTAATCTTTGAGATGTTCTTTTGCTGCTTAAACCTAATGTTCCTTGCCATTCTTGCCATGCACCTGCAGCTGTGCTTTTCTCATTCCTCCACACTCTTTCAAACATCCAAAGACACCACAAAATGTATGTGGTGAGCTTTATCCTGTCTTCATCAATTGCACTATACCTAATGGAACAAATAGAACCCCACCAGTCTTTGAAAGTGCAGCCATCCTGTTGTATGCCATCCCAGGATACTTGAGCTTGCTTCCATACTTTTTGTGCTCTGGAGCATTCTAACAGTACATGTTTAGCTGTCTCAACTGCCTCTCCACAACAACATATAACATCCACTTCTCCTCTTCTGCTTCTCAGGTTAACATTTACTGGCAGTGTGCCTGAGATACACTTCCAAAGGAAATGTTTCAACTTCCCTTTGATGTGTAGCCTCCAGGTTCTTTGCATTATTTTTTGATTTCTCATTGATGTGCTGCTGCCTTCAGGTAGATCTAAAGAGAAGAATTTATTTTGGTGGAGAAAGGAGTATGAAGAAGCTACTGAGAATTTTCCTCCCTTACCCATTTTCCATTTCCATTTATCCTCAGAATAAGTGTCTAGTGTCTGAATTTTCAAGATTTCAATGTTGTCATCTTCCTCAAACAGTTCTCTGACTTTCTGCTCATTCCATTGGCCAGTGTTCACATCCACAATATCTCTAACCCACAACTGCCCATTTTCAATCGTTTTCTTGAGCTTTGGACTTTTATCTAAGAAACAGGGACCCAGTTGATGTCATGAAGTCTAACTGAGGCACCATTCCTGATCACCACCTGTAAACCTTCCCTAAGAAGTCTCCTCACCTTCCACAAGGATTTCCAGATCCAAGAAGAACTTTGCTTCAAGTCAGCATGAAAGAGTGAGGTGCTAGGGAAGTACCTGCTTTTAAGAATTCTGCTCATAAGGAGATAAGGTTGAGTTAGAGTTCTCCAGAGTTGTTCGACAAGCATAGCCTCATTGAAGAGTTGAACATCCTTGAAGCCTAAGTCCCCTTGATCCTTTGTGAGAGTGAGAAGATCCCATCTTTGCCAGTGAAGACCTTTGGTCTGTTCTGCTTCTTTTCTCCACCAGAAGGTCACTTCCTTGCAGACACTAAGAGGTAATTTGAAGCAGGACATTACAAATAGAGGCAGCGCTGTGAGGACAGATTTCATGAGGACCTCTCTAACTGCAGTAGAGAGGTATTTGTTTTTCTAGTTGTTCAATCTTTTCTTGACTGCCTCACTCACAAAAACCAAAGACTTCCCTTTTAGCTTGCCCAATGCTCAGGGAAAACCCCAAATATTTTGAGGATTTCTGCACTTGAATACCAGAAAAAACTTGACACACTTCATGTTGGGCTGCAGTGGTGGTGTTCTTACTGAAGAAAACTGAGGACTTAGAGACATTGACTTTCTGGCAAAAAAACTGTTGATATTTAAGAAGCATGGATTGTAAAACAAGGGCTTGATGTCTGGTTTTTTTTTGCAAAAGATCAGTGAGTCATCAACAAATAGGAGGTGAGTAAGGGTAGGGCCACCTCTTGCCAAAGACACTCCTCTGAACAACCCTCTTTCTTTTTCAGCAATAATCATAGCAGATAGAACTTCAGATACAATAAGGAAGAGGTAGGGAGACAGTGGATCTCCTTGCCTAATTCCTCTTTTAGCAGAAATATAGCCACTGGTGCAACCATTAATAATGAAAGAATAAGTAACTGTGGATACACACTTCATAATCCATTTCACAAATTGAGGATCAAAACGCATTTTGAGCATGGTAAGCCTGATACAATTCCACTCTACTCTGTCAAAGGCTTTCATCATATCTAATTTGATGGCCAGGAAAGCATGCTTACTAGTTCTATTTCTATTCAAGAAGTGAAGACCCTCATTAGCAATTAAGACATTATCACTCAAGAGTCTACCAGGGAAAAAAAAAAGATTGTGCTTCATTTATGCAGATCTGAATACAGTTCCTCAATCTACTAGCCAAAATTTTAGATATCATCTTGTAAACTGCACACAGACTAATTGGTCTAAATTGACCAAGGTTTTCAAGGGCAGCACATTTTGGGACTAGTGCGATAAGAGTGTGATTCCAATAGTTGAGCAGTTTACCTGATTGGAAAAAGCTGATAACTGCACAACAAATGTCATCCTTGAGCAAGGGCAAAAAATGTTGAAAAAAATAAGGCTGGCATGCCATCAGTGCCATGATATTTGCTGGGGTTCATGGAGAACAGAGACTGCTTGATCTCATCTTCTTCCACCGGGGATAAGAGTTGATTATTAACCTCTTCTGAAATTGAGTGGGGCACATGTTGAAGCAGATTTTGCCCTCCATATGAGCCTTCTAATGTGAAAAGAGTGCAGTAAAAATTTTCCACATGACTCTCTATTTCCTCTTTAGAAGCACAGATTCTCTTCCTTTTTTGAGGTTCTGCAATTGAGTATGGTCATCACTCTTTAACTGCTTCCTTATAAGTCTGTCTTCTTTGTTGTCTGTTCTCTTTTAGGTTTTCTTGGTAGGGACTGCTGCTGCATTAGGTAGAGGAGTAGTTTCCCCCATAGTAAGAGTTAAATCCTTCTGAAATGACTGGGGTGTTGATATTTGTTCCACAACTTTGGTATATTCTATTTCTTCAAGGATTAGTGTGTCAAATAACTGGGAAGGAAGTTGTTGATCTGTTGACTTGGGTATACTCTGGCCATTGATGAATTCTTGTCTTGAGGAACTGGATTCATGGTCAGAGGATCTGCTGCTTTGCCCAGATGCAGAGTATAACGTATATCACTGGCTTTCAACCACGTACCATATTGTCCTTCATTCATTTCCCCACTGGCTATGTCCCTTGCCATTTTCTGGCAATCTCTATCTAGGTGGCCAATCATGCCACAGTAATAGTACAAATTTATTAGCCTCTCATACTTAAAGGCCACTGTAACAATCTCTTCACCCAATCTGATGGAGGAGCATCTAGGGAGTGGCTTTTTAGTATCCACTGATACCAGTAACCTGATAATTCTAGCTCATGTTCCTCCACCATTAGAGATTCCCACATTTTGGGTTCTTTTGAAAACTTGTCCTATCTTTAGACTAACATCCCTGCTTAAACAGTCCATAGGTACATTGTGTACTTGGGCCCAGAGTTTAATGTCCTGGAAGGAGCTGTCTTTATCTCTGATGCCTCTCTTCCATTCATAGAGAACTAAGTATTGATTTTCGTAGATTCAGTTGGTGCCCAGAAGAACTTTTTGCATATCCTCTCTACTTTCAAAAATAAATTGAAAGAAGTTCGAAGAGAGTTCACGAACCTCCATACCCTATTGAATCCTCCAGATGCCTATTAGAGTTCTCTTAAGTCCAATGAGCGATGCTTGACGATTGCCTATCATTTTGCCCACTAGGCTTCTGCCACACTCCTCTGCACCAGTGTGAGGCTTGATACTCAAATTCACTTTTACACTCAAATTGCAATATGTATTCACTAACTAACTAAATTAAAAAATGACGAAGAATGTTCACTACCTTGGTCTTTCATAAATTATCATAAATTATTAGAAGAAATTGTTGTTTTAATCAAATTACCGAGTATATTTTGCAATTTTATATATTACAGATGTTCGCGGTACGCATATGCTCCCATTGGCTCGTATAAAGAAAGTAATGAAATCAGATGAACAAGTGAAGGTATGCTAACGCAATAGAAAACAATACATGCCTTAAAATTTTTCCGATAAATATTCGACAAAATTGTATTTCTAGTCCTGCTAGTTTATTGCCATGACAATTCCCAAGGTTTCAACATTTCACATTTTAGTCTTGTAATTTGTCATTTTAAGACTGAAACTGCAACAAATTCCAAAATTCGCGATTAAGAATTTAAGTCATGTAAATGAAATTTTACTACAATTTTAATCTTTTAATTTAAATTTTATTACAATTTCATTCATCAAATGACTGAAATTGCAAAAATATTAAATCACGGGACTAAAAGACGAAAAGTCGGAACCTTGGGACTAAGATTAATATGGAATGAAATCAACATGACTAAAAATGCATTTTTTGCCTAAATATTCTATTTTCATGGTATCAATGCTCAGAACTGAGGTATTTATATTGAAACATTCACATACAAAACCTCTATAATTAATTTATTTACTGCAAAATAATGCAGATGATTAGTGCTGATACGCCGGTAGTTTTTGCTAAAGCTTGTGAAATGTTCATAATGGAGTTATCAATGCGTGCTTGGATGCACACTCAGGAAAATCGACGCCGGACCCTCCAACGTAATGACGTTGCCAATGCAATTAGGGACGACAATCTTTTGGCCTTCCTTAAGGATGTTGTCCCCATGGAAACTTTCCAGGTCCCATTCACTTATAAATTAACCTTTAATCTTTTAGCATGCATTAAGTATTTACTTGTACATTCACAATCCGTTGAGTTTCACCCTTTGTGGCTGTGATTCGTTTTTTTTTTTAAAAAAAAGTATTTACTCATGCATGTAAAATATATAACACTTTTAAATTTTTATTTTAATCCCAAATTTCTAATATACTTGACCATGAAATTGAATATGAAAAGAATTAATTAATAAATTCAAACATATATAAGATCTTTCACCTTGTTGATCATGAATTAGGAGGATCCAGCCTTTGATAATCATCATCCTGGAGTTTATGTTCCGGTCCCTGTTCGAGGAACCCCTGCTTATCCAGTTTATCATCCTATGATGAATATGCAAAGCATGAATCAAGATGTGAGTGTATATATTTTGTGCACAAGTATATATAACCAAAACTACTAAAAATATGTTGCCTATATAAAATGGTGTCATTTGATTTGTATTTTTCTGCAAGAAAATTATTGTTTGTAAAGTTGTGCGTTTTCACATCTAATGCTTGCAATCATATTAGGAGGTGGCTCTGGAAGGTCGTCCACCGGCAACTAATCACCGTTCGGCCTTTCCCTTGAATTTTAGCTATAACATGAATAATGTAAGTTGTGAATCGTACAAATTAATATTTTTAATTAATTGCAGACTTCTAATGTTGATAATTGTGTTGTGTATATATATGAATTGTTTGTGGAAGAAGAGAAAAACATAGATGTTCACCTGAGTTTATGTTCAATTTATAGTATTATGATGTTTTTCCAAAATGGATTTATTTATTTTTTTATTTTTTTTTTCAGGAGTTTTTGCAGTGAACGAGTTCAAATAATTGAGAGGGTAAAAGGAATTTGGAGCTGATCCAATCTATAGTTGACATTAAAACTAAATTATAAATAAACTTGGTTTCCTAATTTATAGTTGAGATTAAAATTAGGTCGATAATGACTTACTTTTAAGAACAAGTATCTGGTATTCCTTTAATCAAAAGGTCAGGGGAATGTACAACCTGCAAGACTCGTACGCCTCCCTTGCTGCTCTTACAATGGCCGACTTTCCTCTCTCAAACTATTTTTATTTTTATTTCTGTATGAAATGAATGGTGTTTGGAATTCATTAAAACTTTCCCGCTATGTTAGAGCATCTCCAATATTGCATGTTGTAGTGGTGAAAAATTTGCCACATATTGAGTAATTCACTAGCAATCCAAATTATGCCTTCCAATGGCAAAATAAAAGATAAACGTTGTGCTGAGTTGGCCATTATTAATCTCTACACTGTGATAAAGAATGTAGAATATCTACAGCCTTCTCCACATGATGACTCATCAAATTTGGGGGCAAGAGGCAAAATCAATTCTCAAAATCGTAGAAAATCTGGGAGGGAAAAATTGGCGCGCACCTAATATTTTACCAATTGTGAAATTAGAAAAAAACATTTTTCTCTTCGTGTGCATCTGAACCGAGGAATATTTTTTCGAAGAATTACAACTCCAGATAACACAAAACAAATCTGGTAAGCGAGTCACCTTCTTTCTTCGCGGCCAGATTGATATGTACTTTTTTGGAAAATAGCATTTTTTTTCCATTTTACTATTGATATTATTCAGTTACTATAGGATTTGGTCGATTTGAATTGAATTTGGTTGAATGAATTACTGTGAGCTTCTCTCTTGCCAAGCTAACCATTCTCGCTTAAATATGTAATTTTTGCAGCCCCGATTCGAGAATTTTTTTCTAAGTTTCTTGAAATATTTTGAGGTAATTTGTCTGAAATTATTGTGACAGAAGATGGATTTCAAGTTCTTTGTGTTTCGTTATTATTAATATTGTTTATGCCTGTTTCTCTAGTGATGAGGGGTTTAAAACTTGGTTACCATTGTGAAAAAGTAATTTTTTTTTTTTTTT